CTCGTTAGCCCATAAGGCAATCCATCTACGTCCTGAGGACCTCGCTGCCACCGTCCAAGCGTGCTTGGCCCCGGCAGATGAACCTCAGGATTAAAGGGTGGGCTCAGTTCCGCGCACACTGTGTCTCACCTAAAAAATCCAATGCGCAGGCTGGAAGGTGGAAAGACCTTCCCCGGTTCTTCGTTCGCGAAGAGACTGGCCATTTTTTTTACAGCGGAAAAATCACTTCCCTGGACCTGCTGGCCACACTGTTCTTGATGCAGGCCAGGATGCCATTGGCCTTCTTGGCCACCTGGGCACACTGCTGGCTCATGTTCAGCTTCCTGTCGATCCAAATTCCAAGGTCCCTTTCTGCTTGGGTGCTCTGCAGCCACTCTGTGCCCAGCCTACAGCGCTGCAGGGGATTGTTGTGGCCAAAGTGCAGGACCCAGCACTTGGCCTTGCTGAACCTCCTCCTGTTGGAATCGGCCCAACTCTCCAGTCTGTCCAGGTCCCTCTGCAGAGCCCTCCTGCCTTCCAGCTGATCAACACTCCCCCCCAGCTTGGTGTCGTCTGCAAATTTGCTAATGGTGGACTCAATCCCCTCATCTAAATCATCTGTAAAGATATTAAACAGAACTGGGCCCAAAACTGATCCCTGGGGGGCACCACTAGTGACCGGCCGCCAGTTGGATTGCAGCACTGTTCCCCACCACTCTCTGGGCTCGGACCTCCAGCCAGTTCTTAACCGAGCACAGAGTGCCCCTGTCCAAGCCATGGGCTGCCAACTTTTCCAGGAGTATGCTGTGGGAGACGGTGTCAAAGGCTTTGCTGAAGTCCAGATAGACCACATCCGCAGCCTTCCCCTCATCCACCAGGCGGGTCACCTGATCATAAAAGGAGATCAGGTTGGTCAGGCAGGACCTGCCCTTCCTAAACCCATGCTGGCTGGGTCTGATCCCCTGTCCATCCTGTAGGTGCTGTATGATTGCACAATTCATCCCTCCAAGTCTCTGTGATGGCAACTATAGCATAGCTTTCCTGTTGCTCCATGGCTTCCAGCTCTTCCCATTTGTTGCCCTTACTTGGTGTAGATGAATTTCAGTTGGGCTATTGATCCCACCACCTTTTGGGGGGAAGAAGTCCTAATTCCTATGTAAAAGTTCTCAGGTACTTCCACGGTTTCTAATAACTCAATAACACTTGCATCCTTGCTGCCGCATCGATCTCCATCCCCTACCTCCACTGAGATGCCAGACCGAAGGGTTTCTCTAGCACACTGTCCCTCAAACTGGTACTAGCATAAGTGTAGGCATAAGTTCTTGCTTCACTGTTAGATAAAGGCAAGGCCGTGCATGTGGCATAATCGCTGGTACTGAGTGGGAGCTGCCTTCAGGCTCCTGTGATGCAATGAGGTGACTGAGTCTATCCAGTGACCAAGGACTACGTTCAGCAGAAAACAGGCCTAAAGGCCATGTTGTATGTTGTACATGTAGTGTAGCACAGCACAGGTGTGTGAGCATACAAGGGTTAACTGTTATGTGGATAACTAGCTCCTCAATGTACAATGGTCTTTTGGTCAGGATCCCTACAGCCTATTTCTGAGCTGTCTGGAGCTGGCTATATTTGCCACGGGGTAGCCCCATACCTCTTCTCACAGAGACCACCTCTGCAGACCACTCCATCCCCCACCAAAACCTTGCCATGTCAACCCCAATACAAATGAGTATTTTAAATTATCTTATTTGTGTACAGTTTGGTCAATTCCTTTCTCTACAGCAGGAACTAACTGGGGGGAACCACTTGAGCCACCAAATTCTCCACGTAGGATGTTAATCAACACATTGAAGCATAGAAGTAGCACCTGTCGTTTTGCCTATGCGCAGCAGGGGCTGCCTGGGGGAACCACCTGGACTGTCCAGAATCCCACCCACCCAGGGAGTGGTCCTGTAGCTATTATTGATTTGTTGTATGAACTTCTATGCAGATTCACAATCATCTTGTCTCAAATCAGTCCACTGTCTCATGTTCGTCTAGGCAGAGACAAACTGGGGAGTTCCTGGACCATCCAGGAATTAATGACTAGGCCCACCAGGTATACACACAAGTACAACTCTGATATTCAGCTATACCACAACTGCAACTATAGGGCAAACTCGAATTTCCTCCCTATATCACAAATTAAATTCCATAGATTTTTCCATACTGTAAAAGAACAGTGGCCTGTCCTAGTTAGAGCAGCCGGGACCAGTTCATCACTGTGTGGGTGTAACCCAAACTGTGTATTCTACACCCTCTGTGTCATTTCCCAGAAACCGTTAACAATAGACCATTTGTAGCAGCTGCCCAGAGCACCCAGAGCCCTCAGGCTATAAGTTGGGTGTTAAGAGGCCTGTGAGATAAGAGGATGTTCCTGTCCTCACACCCATGACTCACAATCACCCATTGTGGAACCCTTCGCCCTGGGGGAGGTGCTGGGCATTCCTGCCTGAACCTGAGTGTATATAATCTTGGAGTCTTGGGACTTCTGGTACCACTCGCAGGATCCAGAGGAGGAGCACCACTCTCAACCGGACTGCAACCACCGCTCTCAACGTGGGGCTCAGCATGGGGAAGGGGGGGGGGGCGCACAATGAACACCATTCTGTTTGTGCCCCAGGGTGCCAGGTTATACATCTGGTCTTTTTTGTGGGTTAAAACCAATTGTTCATCTGTATAATTGTATTTATTGTATTATTTTTATTAAATTGTAATTCTGACTTATAATCTCTTTTGAGTTGGGTTAATTTCTCCTGCTGGTTTGCCTTTAAACCAGCACAATTGCCTTATTCAATCATGTCTCTATACTTATGTGCACATCATGAGGAATAAACAGGAGGAGCTCAAAGCTTTGGCCCAGTCCCAGAGTTACGACATCATTGGCATAAGTGAAACCTGGTGGGATGAGTCCTGTGACTAGTGTGCCCTGATGGATGGTTACAGGGTCTTCTGGTGAGGTGGGGGGGTGATGTTGTATGTAAAGGAGGAGTTGGATTGTATAGCACTTGCAGTTGGTGACAACGCAGTTGAGAACTTCTAGGTAACAAGGAAGGGGAAAGTAAATAAGGAAGATGTTGTTGTGGGAGCCTACTGTCAACCACCCAGTCAGGATGACGACATCAATGAATTATTCTATAAGAAATTAAGGAATATCTCTGTATCAGCTACCCTTGCTCTTATGGGCGATTTTAACTTCCCAGGCATCAACCAGGAATATCATACAGAAGACAAAAACAGGTCCAGGAAATTCGTGAAGCACGTTGAAAATAACGGCGCAGATACTAAGGGTGTCATGTGAAAGGTTTTGTGACACCAGGTTTTGTGCTGGCCAGGTTTTGGTGGTGGTGGTGGGGCTATAGGGGTGGCTTCTGTTAGAAGCTGCTAGAAGCTTCCCCCATGTCTGTTAGAACCAATGCCAGCCAGCTCCAGGACAGACCTGCTGCTGGCCAATCACGAGTGATAGTAACGCCTCTGTGATAACATATTTAACAAGGGAAAAAAAGTTGTCAGGCAGAGGAACATTGCAGCCAGAGAAGAGCGGAGTGAGAACATGTGTACAATAATATAGGCACCAAGGTCAGTGCAGAAGGAGGGGGAGGAGTGCTCCAGGTGCCGGAGCTGAGGCTCCTGCAGCCTGTGGTGAAGACCATGGTGGAGCAGGCTGTCCCCCTGCAGCCCATGGAGGACCATCAGGGTGCAGCTCATTCGTGAAGGACTGCACCCCATGGAGGAGTGACCCACAGGACAGCAGTTTGGGAAGAACTGCTGCCCGAGGGATGGACTCATGCCGGAGAGGTCCATCAAGGACTGTTTCCCTTGGGAGGGACCCCATGGGAGAAGGGGAAGGACTCCTCTCCCTGAGCAGCGGCAGAAACAACAACTCCCTGCACGGCTGGGGGGGAGGAGATAGAACTTGGAAGGAAGGAGGGGTGGGGGAAGGTGTTTTTAAGACTGTTTTATTTTTCACCCTTTGGCTCTTATCCTGTTAGCAATAAATTTAAGTACTGTCCCCACTTTGAGTCT